TATTGAAACGCAGTGATAAATGGACACAGCTAAAAGAAATCACATTTGCACATATAAAAAGCCATAACAAATGATTTATAAAAAATTTTTTTTTTGAATCAATTTAAGCTGGGGTGTCCGTCTGTCCGCCTGCTGTCTATCCATATCTTTAGCGCAATTTTTGAGATATTTTCTGATTAAATTCGGTACAGCGATATCGTTTAGCTCAAGGGCCAGAGCTATTGAAAAAGCTTCAATTTGAACCAATTTTTCGACCACTTTCCACATAACTGCTTTTCAAAATAAGAATAACTGTATTAATATTAAGCGAAGCGTTGTAGGGTATTTAATGGTAGGCCTTGTCAAACTGCAATGTTTTATTTGTTGTTTGGAAGAATATGGAAGACTTTATTTATTGCACAGAAAACTTGGGCAATCCTTCTTTATTCATAAACGTAACGTTTTTGTTTCAAACCCTAATATACCTTGGATTGAAACGACATCCCTTAAGGGATTGAAATCAAACATTAGGTTGAAAATCTCTACCATAGGCATGCAACGCATAAAACATATATACCATTTTTCTTTTGACGCCCACAAGCTATACAACATACAAAGGTAGTACATGCACCCAATCGAAAACATATAGTGAATGTATATGTAACGACCGATGTACGTGTGGGAGATTTATTATGCTAGCCTATGATCTTCACTAGCTTTATTGCTCGTTAACATGGATTCGGACGCCAGCTTGCCAAGGCAAAGGAAAGGTTCAAAAAGTCCCCTTTAAATGCTTTCTGACTATACTGAAGGCATAGACAATCAAAATGCTTTAGACCATGCTTCAGATCGGATGAAGGATGCCCGCTAAATTAAGCGGCTTAAACCGATAGGCGTTACATGTGTTGACGTAAACTTAAATGAGTCCAGAACCAAAAATCGCGATCGGATAAATTATATCTTAGGTTCTACTTTAACTACATGAACTGTATCAGACAATAAAAAAAAAATAAAAAAATTAACAATACAAAAGCTCTTTAGCCTTTATACTCTTAATAGAAAATCAAAATTAAACGCAGACAGGAAAAAATTGATTATCAAAACTATATTTAAATATTGCATGCTATATGCTGCTCCAGTTTGCTCTTCCATCGCTCCGATTGTCGTATTAAACAAGTGAAAACGTTAAGGTGGAACTCGGCTCACCATTAAATACAGTCACTCATACGACTATTATTCGGAATAAACTTTTGTAAGGAGAGTTGCCGAAAAAGTGGTTCGATTCGAACCAACTTCAATAGCGTTTTTCCTTAGTTCGTAATAGGCGTTTGTATCGAATTTCATCGAAATATTTCAAAAATTGCGGCCTGTAGTTTGAATGCAAAAGGACAAAACAGACGTACGGACAGACATGTCTACATTCGGAAATATTTTCTGACTCGATTGGTGGAACAAAAAGTGTCTAAGCCTATCTCAAATCCTTCTAAGTTTTGTATACATAGGCACAAACGTAGGTTTGCTTTCGACGCCCGACACCCAACATTCGTACTAAGGCAATAAACACTTGCTTGCTGCAAGCGATCAAATTTCTAAAAAAAAGCCATTTACGAATAAATTACTTGGAAATTTTATATCAAAAACTAAAATTTGTTGCGTCGCATCAACTCGAAAAAGAATTTTGAATTCTTTCTATTCTTCTATCTCTCAAATAATTCTGAAAAATACATATTTATTTTTTTCGAAAAAGATTACACATACATACATTACAAAATTCGGACAAGCCTAAAGCTAAAAGGGCTTATGACACAATTCCAAACAAACGTGTGTGTGTGCCTACGTACATTATTGGATGATAACTTTATTTACTTCCATGCAATAGAAATTGAGATGAGCTAATATACTTCGAATCTTGTCTAAACTCGCACAATATCGTTATTTGCCATATTTCTGGCCGACTAATTAATGATGAGACCCATAAGTGACATAAGCATAAATTTTCAAGAGACCATAAGTGCTTGCTGCCCTTTTCAGAGACTTTTAGTTAAACCAAATGATATGCAAGTCCTGCAGTGCTTTAAGCAAATCTTCACCTCTATCTCTTTGACTATAGCTAATGAAAAACGCTTTCATCAGGGAAACATATTATACGTTATGCTTTTCCTACAACTAACTCGTGTATACATATATAACTTTTAGCATAAACGTGTATGTTTATCACTTTGTATACTATATATATATATATGGAATATACGTATATACATATATATTCACAAACACTCTCTATATATATATACACTCTATATATACATGTATATATAAATATATATATATATATATATAAGTGGCCTCGTAAGCGTATCGTCAAGTCTTTCATAAAACATTGACAAAGTGGTGGATATAAAGAGAAAATGAAATAAAAAAAAATTAAAAAGACAACAATTATAGCAAAAATTTCGCATGTTGTTGCTCATTGTTATAAATAAAATCATTAAAATTATTGTATGTACATATTATTAAGCTTTAAAAGATCTTTTTAATATTAAATATATATCTTATTAAGCAAATGTTTTGTTTTTTTTTTTTTTTGTTTTGTACAATTTTTTTATGCTAAATGAAAACGAGTTTTCTTTTCCATGAATTTTTTTTTTTTTTCTTTTTGTGTAATACATACATATATAAAAATGTATATAATTCGTTGAAAGCCGTAATAAAGTCTCATTTTTTGTTTCTTTCTTTCTGACTTTATTTCACTGCTTAAAAACGTAAATGTATATGCAAATTATTTTAAAAACAAATTTATATTAAATTATAGAAAAAAAAAGAGAGAAAAGAAAAACACTTTGATAAAATGGGAAGAAAAAGTTTAACGATCGTCAGCAGAATACTAATGTTATTTATATTTAGATAACGATATAATCGCAATACAAAAATTTAATACATGATTTTCTAAGGGACTTTCATTGACTCAATAATAATAGTTATCGGTAAAAATGAGAAAAGCAAATGAACACCAAGAGCTGAGATCGTACTAGCAAAGCTGAAATGAAAATTGCAATGAATAGAAGAAAGCAATAAACACTTTGCTTCACTTTCGTTTATTTTATGCCTTCCTCCTAATCCAATTCCCATTTGCTTTCCTATAAAAACCTAACCATTGCACGATATCCGTCTAGAAGAGGCCAATATACATGTAGCTCTGGATAACATATATTGCACTAAAAAAATAAATGTATATCTATATACACATATATACATAGATTTGTATAAGGAAAATGTACACATATATAGAGGAACTAGACAGTGGATGGCTGACAGGGAAACGTTAAGCGAAAGAGAAATATAGAAGAGTTATTAAGTGAATTATTTTAAACGCAGTTGTAAAGTCTTGCAGTTTCTCACACACACACACGTTCGAATTACTTTCTAATAAACATGTATAAAAAAAACTATCTAAAAACATTATGATAAGCCACTATTCATTATTAAATACCCTACATCACTTCGCCATTTATATAGGGACTTTTTAAAATAAGGCCTTATATGGGAAATGGCCGAAAAAGTGATCCGATCCGAACCGTATTCAATAGCATTCGTCCTTACACTAAATTAAAAATTGCGACCTATGGACTGAACACAGCAATGAAAAAAGAACAGAAGAAGACGGATAAGAATAACTTTCTGGATCGATCGGTATAATAAAAGGAAATCCTCCCTGATGTGGGAAATATTATTGAAAACGTATACTAAGAAATTTTGCCATTTTGAGATTGAAAGCAAAGTGCAGATCAAAGGAAATTTAGAATGCCTTTAGAAATACTACTACCACTTAGCCACTTTTGTTGAGTAATTTTGAAAATAAAAATTTTCTTCCATATAATGGCTTTTGTGGATCAATACGAACATTTTTACGTGCTCGGTTATCAGATGGACAGACAAACTTGGAACTATTCATGTGATGATTCAGAGTCAATAAGTATAATAAAATGTTTTACATACATCTGCACTCTGTACCATAAGTGGTGTAGGGTGACAACAATGACATCATGTACTCGGCATACGTAAGCCTTTAATTTCAAGAAAGACCGATAACACAACGGATCGCTTCGTAATTAATAATACACTCTTACCGCTAGCAATGGCAGAACGTTTTACTTTTTGGTTATTAAAGGGCCAGCGCCTTAATCGCATACATTTAGCAAAGTCTCGGAAGGCAATCTTCTTATCAAGAGTATACCAAGGGTGAGCAAGTAGTGAGGAATTACTTTCTTTTGCCTAATGTATGACTTCTGTTTGCAAATGGCTGAACACAACAATTTATCACTTGGTCGGGAAGAGAATTTCGGAAAATCTCGGAAGACTCTGCCATATAGCAAAGATCTTTCAACCTGATGCTTTCTTAGCCTAAACAAGAATAACGTGACGTGACGATCGACTTCTTTCTTCAACTTTTTCTATTCATGAAGACAACTATTATGCCGACTACGGTGAAAAAAGAATGAAAAAAACGAAAATTAATTTCGAAACTATTCGAGTAAATAAAGGATGAAAAAGAACCGTTCTTTTTGTGTAGGTTACACAACTACTGGTACAAAAACTTGTTTCAATATATAAACATTTTTGCTTTTCTTCGTTCTACGGTAAACTAAAGACACATTTTAAAACTTAACTAAAAAGCGTTTAAAACATTCAACCCATAAGTAACTAAATATATTACGTTCTGCTCTTTTTTCTTCAAATTATTTTTGAAAGGTACTTTTTTCTTCTTTCTTTTTAAAGAACAACCTTCTTTTTCGTCATAATTATGAAAAGGAAATGAAATGAATAGAGAGAGAGAGAGAGAGAGAGAGAGAGAGAGAGAGAGAGAGAGAGAGAGAGAGATAGAGATAAAAGAAACAACCATATATGGGATTAGCAGCAACAACAACATCAAAACATCGTAGATAATTTATCAATAAAAAAAAAATAAAAAAAAAATAAAAAAAATAAATGAATAAAATAAAGAAAATGCAAGAGAAAAAAAGGATATGTTCACAGTTTACTGAAAATGAAAAAGTCGATAATAATAAAAATAAGAGCAAAAGAAAAACAACAATTAGACCACACAAGCTGAGAAAACTCCCATTACACGTCAGCCAAGATCTTGCTGCTGTTCAGTTCGATCTGAACGGTAAATGGCAGCACGATAACTATACCTGTTTCCAGTAGTTTGATGCTGTGTTGTTGTTGGTGATTGCTGTTGCTGTTGCTGTTGCTGTAAAGTTTGTTGTTGCGTGGTTATAATACTATTTGTGGTAACGGTTACTGAAGATTGCGGTTGCAGTCGTTTAGGAAATTTATCGGAGTCCTCATCTAATGGATTTGTTTGCTGTTGCTGCTGCTGCTGTTGCTGTTGTTGTTGTTGCAATTCCATTTGTTGCTGATCAGCTAATAATTTAGCACTCAAAATGGATACATACGCCTTATACCGACGTAACTTTTCAAAAGAAAAACGAACAGCATTCGTAAGACAGACAAATAACATTTCATAATTAACTTACCTCATATTGCAAATAATTCTCTTTTTCTTTGTAATTCTGTAAAGCCAAACCTTTACTAGGTATCGGTCCTTTGCGATGTTCCATCAACGAATTCTCCAACTGATCCAATTGCTGTTCATGTGACTCCAACTGCTCTTTCTGTTAATCAAACGAAGGAATGTTAAAAATGAATATAAATGTCATCTAAGTCGGCTAACCATTAACAGCTTGGTATGTGTACTGGGCAGCAAAGGACGCTGAAAACGTTTCTGGCTACCTACACCGCCCTCCAAAGGTGGTGCAGAATAGGCCGCGCATACAAAATTAATAGTCTCTACCCACGATTGCAGCTCCTTAGAATCGCTTGTTTGAAAGAGATATTCAGCCTGATCGGCGGTTTGTAAACGAAATACATGTTGTTTTTTGGTATAATCAGACGCCTTAGTAGCCAGAGCATGATGAATTCTAATGGCATTATGAAGATTGTCAGACATCTATAAAATAAAAAGGGACAATTGAAAAATAGTATATATATATATATATATATATGCACATATATATATGTATAAACTTACTTGACTTTTACGAAAACCATGCTCATCTTTATGCAAATATAATACCAAATCCCTGAGTGTACAATAAAACATTTTCCAAGAACGTTTTCCGAAAGGAGCTAAATGGATGAAATGAAAACATTACAATCTGGCAGTGCGGGCCATTAACTTAGCATTCCCTACACCGCTTCGCCAAATACAACCCTGCACTTACTTTCGTAATCAAATACTGAAAACTTTATCTTATTTCCACGTAATGGCATACCCTTCCTTGAAAGCGTTGCTTCCAAAAAATAGGTCCAGATAGTCCAAAGTTACTACATCCAAATTTGATGTTAAATGACTAATGTATTATGGGTCAATTTTGTTTCCTTATACTATTCATGGCAGCCTTCTTCATATAAGAGGGGGGGACCCAAAATAAAGACTGACGTGGTCCATATTTTATCAAAACTCATTTTATTGTCGAATCAAAAACAAAACATGCTTCCTCACTTGATCATTATAAAACTCTCATATGTGATGTGATTCAGAAGACCTATGTGGTCGCAACAGGAAACTGTTAAATCTGATGTGTGGAACTGTTCTTGTCGTCGTAACGAGGATACTGTAAAAATTTGATGTCAGAAATTGCTCTTGTGGGCATGTTTTTGTCATGCAATATTAAAAATCAAGTTCTTTCACAGGAACCCTTGCATAGGATGTGATCCACAAAATTCACTTAGATGATTCAAATTTATTAGATTTAATTCTCATATCAAATTACTATTATGGATCCATTTCCCTCACGAATTATTAATTAATGATTAGATTTGTTTGACATAAAAAAGTTGAATATTCCTGGGAACGATTATGTAGAGAAGGCTTCAAAAAATCGGTCCTCGACTTGGACTCGGACTTGATTTTGACCTGGTTTTACCAAAAGACCTTAACAAAATAAATCTTTGTATGGAAAATGACCGAAGTAGTCGTCCAAGGCAAACCATTTTTAGTGATGTTCATCTGTGTACGCATTAGTGTACGTAGACAGACTCTTGGAAGCTGCATGCACGTGCATAACTTTCATAAACTCTGTACTATAAATGATGATTAGTATAAACATTTCGATTTCCTTTCCTTTTTATCCTATACTACGTGTGATAATTACACACACAGGAATGGTTGAGGAAGATGCACCTTTTCTTATAACAGCCAATCAAGTTGAAAAGCTGTTGGCCGCCTATCCACTTAATATAATTGTTCAATTTATGGGACGGAATTTTTGCAGATATTTTCAGAAAATTTGGCAAAACATGAAGAATAATCTCACGGAAAATGGATAGAAGTAAGCCATTTTTTCAAAGACGACCGCTTATAGCGCTCTAATTTGGCAAAGTTTTCTCGAAGAAAAATCGGTATCCACTTGGATCATATCGGTACAGTTTTCGCCATCCCATCTATATAAAGATTCTTATGTAAAGCAAATCTTTACATGATATGAAGGGTAGATGCATTAGGCAAAGTGGTGTAAGCCATTCAGTGGTCGATCTTGCCGAGCGATAGAACATGATAATATAACTTGCTTCTTACTCTTTTTGTAGTTAGCATCGTAACAGCATTTACGCATAACGTAGCCTTTTTTATATTCAACAGCCGCCGATGATTCGGGAAGATCAAGGAATGGATTTTGTCCTATAAGACCACCAGAGGTTAAAATGCTTTGTTTGCTTTCAGTTAATTGCTTTTGCAAGTCAACCGCATCGTCATCGCTATAAAGAAAAGATTTAAAGCAAATTAATTAAGAGCTCGAAGATTTTTACGTAAGAGTACAAGTGAACATACAGCGCCCATTCCAAAGGCTGTGTTTTGATTGCCTGGTATAAATATTTGAGCACTTCCTTCGGAAAGTTATCGCCATCATTCAGTTCAGCTAAATTTTCAATAAATTCGGAACAAGTCATTTTCCGGCCAATATTCTGACCATGTAAGTCCGTGTTCAATAACATTATAGCACAGGTTAACGTATGTACGGCATCTGAAGGTAAAAATAATTTGAATGAAAAAAGGAAATGAAAAAAAAAAGGGAAAAATTCTTTATAAAGGAGTTTAATATTGATAGGAAGTTTCCGAAAATTAATTAAAACTCGATTCTACTTTAAAATGGAAATCGCTTTATAAACAATTCACTCCTTTCGATGTCCATCTCAGTCACATGTTTTAAAAACATCGAACATTACTTACGATGGGAAGCGTCATGCGCAGGAGTATTTATTGAAAGGCTTAAAGATCGGATGAAACACTTTGAGCATCTGCTCGAGTTTAGTGCTGACATTACTCATTATAATGGAAGAAGAAAGATCGAGAAAGTATTCATCTTTTTGAAATCACTTTCAAAAAATATTTAGCTTAGAAAAGAAGGATAGCAGATCGGATGAAACACTTTTAGCATCTGCTCGAGTTTAGTGCAGACATTACTCATTATAATGGAACAAGAAAGATCGGGAAAGTATTCGACTTTTTGAAATCACTTTCAAAAAATATTTAGATTAGAAAAGAAGGATAATAATAAAACAATTTTCATTCTCTTCGGGTGTTTTATGCGCCAAGGCTCACTATTATGATTTTCTTTTTTTGAGGTTAGGTTATATTTGTTTGAACGAGCGGCTTTCAACATTGTTGCCTTTCCAGGCCTGGCAAATGTTCCGATAATAAAAGCACATTTTATTTCTTTAAGGTCTTAATAACAATTTATTGTCGTCACAAACCTAGAGATTCTTGCAAGATTAAGAGCTAAAAGAGGTCTATCGGAATGTTCTATCCATTCCTAGTTTCTAGGTATGCTTCGTAATGGTTTATTCAGCTGAATCAAGGTGTTCTGCAATCTCCGATATTGTCAAAAAATGATTTTTCTCTAACGTGATCTTGACCGCATCGTTGCCGATCGGAAATGATCGGCCGGAGCATGGCTTATCAGAAATGTCGAAATCATCTACTTGAATGAATTTCTATAAGGAACTGCATCTACACCGAACAATTTCAATAAATTTTTATATGCTTCTGTAGCATTTCTTCCTCATTGGAGTTCGTGCAAAATAACACAGTGATAGTTCATTTACTTTGTCAACAGCAATGGGTACACTATCGCTTCACACTTAAGACTATCACTCAATTTTGTTTTAGTTATAATGCTGCGATAAAAATAGTGAGCTGGAACATGCACTAACGGAAACGGGCAGAACTTGATTGAAGGGAGTATTTTAATAGCGCAACGAATGATAAATACTTTTACAAACAAAACTTTTCTTCTTCTTCTCTCCCCTTTTAGATCCCTAGATTTCTTATCTTCCCCCCTTATCCTATCTTCCTTTCTTATCCTATCTTCCCCCCTCATCCTTTCTCCATCCCCCCAGCCCTCCGCACCGCCCGCCAACCTCTCTTTCTCTTCGCCTCTCTGTCCGTATTTCTCTAATTTGCTCGCAATATCTTGAACGTAATGGTCATCACAAAGTGAAACGGAAAGACTAGCATAAAAAAGTTGCTAAAAAAAAATGCAAATTTTTTCAAAATTTACTGTAAAAATGCCTTACCTTGAGAATTAAAAGAGCCCGGATTACAATCTAAATAACGTTTAGAAAAATGTACTAACACGCGTTCACGTTCTTGCGTTTCGCCTGATAACGAAAATTGTTGCAAAAATTCACGCAACGATAGATCTAAAGTCTTTTGCTCAAATGTGAAATATTTCAAGTATTCATCAGCTACCGCACGACTGAAATCATTGCTATTATGAAACAAAAAAATATAATAATAATAATAGTAATAATAATTAGGAAAAGCTCTTTAAAAGGAGGAGCAAAAAAAGATGATGTATTTTTACTTTTTACTAAGATGCCTGGAGACATCACTCTTTTTGAAACCATCAAGTGAATACAGTCTTTTAGCCAAACGTATAGCCGATGGCATATCTACAGCCTTGGGTGAATAATGATACGAATGCAGGGATTCCACATCGCTGCCATCGTCCGAAACAGGTGGCGAAGAGTCGCGTACTTCGTTTGTGCTCGCGATGGCATTGCCGAGTGTGGTGGCCAACGGTACATCTTCTGTTAATGTCGCCAAATCATCTTCGGAATCTTTCAATTCCGAATATAATGATTTGCCCGTAGTACCGTTATTATTATTATTATTGTTATTATTGTTATGATTACTATTGGCATTGGTTGTTACACTGTCAGCGCCTCGTACTTGTATAACTACTTTATGCTCTGATGATTTTTGTTGTTGTCTTTGTTGTTGACGCTGCACAGCCGCATCCGATACCAATATTGTTGAGTCCGAATCACTGGGATCACTAAGTACCATACCGCCTAAAAGATCACGAGAACTTAATAAATTATCATCGTCCTGATAATCAGGACTAGAAATATTTGATATAGCTTCAGAAACACTATGATCACCACCACCACCACCACCACTAGCAGTAACTACGTTACTGCTACTACCACCACCACTATTATTGCCGTTAGGACATTGCAATAAACCCATATTATTTGTTACTATCGTACCAGTGGGCGTTGAAGAGGTGACACCGCCATTACTAACAATCACATGTTGTTGATAGTGTTGTTGTTGATGTTGTTGTTGCTGTTGATGCTGCAAATGTCCATTATTATGACTAAAATTGCTGCCTATACCAAGGGCACCTTTTGAACCCGACGAAGACATAACCGAACTGGAAACAGAAGTGGGCGAAGCGGGACTACCAACCGAATTTTGAGGTGATGAACTTATTGAACTTGAATACGAATTGTGATGCGAATTATTGATACCGACATGATGGCTATAGCTGGTATTAGAATACTGTTGTTGTTGTTGTTGTTGCAATGCAGCCAATTGATGTGGTTGCAATGGAGCGTTATAAGTCCAAACTATACGATCACGATTCGAAGCCTGTTTATTTTGAATAGAAATTTTTGATATTAATTGGTATTTTTTATTTTTTAATTTTTTATTACGTGTTTTTTCGATAAGAAAATAATTTCAAAAATATAGAAATGTATAAAGCACTATTCTAGCGCTGTTTGATGATAACTAGATTTTTCAAAAAACAAATCTAAATTTGTATGTAAGGTACTAAATATCTCTTTTTTTCTTTTTTGGTTTTTTTTTTTTATTTTACAATTTTTTTTTGCCAATTATCCTAATCTCTTATTATTTGTTCATAATAATTCTTTTTCTTCAATTTATAGAAAATATAATGAAAAATGAAAGAAGAAAGGAAAAAAAAAGAAAACTTAAAAAAAAAGTCGGGAAGAAATTCAAATATTCTCAGAATTACTTATCGGTTAAATGTCATCTCTATACATATTTATGACAATTATTTCATAATTTTTCTCTATGTATTTACACGCGAGAGCTTTGTATTTAAGAAAAACTTTTTCTTCTAATTAATTTTTATTATTTTTTTTTCTTATTTTCAAAATAAAAATCATTTGATGTATAAAAAAGTGTATGGATTGCTTTGGTTGGCTCGTTAGTTAGTTGGTTGGTTGGCTAGTTGGGTGTTGTGATATGGATGTGCGACTATAATATATCAAAAATAGTAAGAAAATTGTCTAGACAACAATAACAATAATAATAATAATAATAATAATAATAAGAAAGGAAAAATCAAGAAAATCAAGCAAACATATTAAGCAGTTAGCAGTTATATTTTATTGACGTGCAGTACAAACAACAAACAAAAGTTCGGCATTTCATGCGATGAATGAAAAGGAAGTGAATTTAACAGGCAAGACATGCACAAAATGCTTTTGACAATATGAAGGTGATATGCACTGTGTGTTTGTATATAAGTAATAATAATAATAATAATAATAATAAGAAAGAAAAGAAAAAATAAAATAGAATGTTGCAGCGTAGAAGGAGAAATGAACAAAAAAAAAAAAAAAAAAAAAAAATAAAAGAGTAAAAAAATAAAAAAAAAAAAAAAAAAAAAAAAAAAAAACCTTAAACCGGATAAAAAATTCAAAACTCGGTTTTTGCAACGTTTTTTTGAGTGGACATATAAGCCACATGCCTTTTTGGCTTAGTCCAAAAACAAAAAACAACAACCAGCGTATTGCGTTGAGATTAACGGTCTGATGCCTCAAAAAAAAAAAAAAATTAATAGAAAAATCCAGAGAGAGAGAGAAGAGCTAAAGACCGTCATTATTGCGCCAATTTTTCAAAACTTGCAATGGATTCAAAATTGACATTGGCTCGAAGGTATCTGAATCATATAATGCTTCCGGGCCAAATACTAATTCCTTTGATTTCTTTTTTAACCCTCCGTGAGTATAAAAGATTTTAATTTCAAGCCACTCCTTTTTTTCTCTCAACAATATCCCCAATAATGGATTCAGAGTTTTCTATTGCATTTTAAAAGAATCTTGAATTTTGCATATAAAACATAGGCACAAGTGCACAAGAGCGAAATGCCTATTCTTTCTGACGAAAAAAATGCTTGAACGTCATAAGGACGATAAAAAGGTGATTTACTCAAAGTGCACTTCAATCATTTTTCACAATTTGTGTGGATTCTTCGGCTTTTACCGCCAACCAAGCATCGAATCATTTTTTCAAACCTCCACGCATATCGCGCCCAGCGAATGCGTGAACTAAGGGTTCACCTGGTGAGCAGATCCCACTTCTCATTCCGATCAGGGAACGTCTTTCGCATTCTTCGAAAAAAAAATTCCGTCCACAACTGCTCTGCCTATCGCAAAAATGACACAGCGCAAAAACATCTTCACCTTGTCACTCAGGTGTCTTTAACACTTGTTGACGATGCAACCAAATTCCATGTACGTCAAATCTTCATAAAGCGCGTTAAGGTGCCATCTATTTGCCAAATCCGCAGTTCAAATTGATACATCTGTTGGTATATAATGTTCATCGGGTCTACACTCCGATTCTTGTAAATATAATAGAAAAATCAATCCTCAGTGAGCAGCTACTAGTTCTATTCCGGAAAGACCTCGAATTTCGCTCGTAATATTATACGAACTATATATAAATAACTATAGATTCATCGGCAGTAAAAGCAAAAGTAATGATATATGTAAAAACAGGCTTGAGCTATCACGCCGTTTATGGGTATTTAGATTTAAGTGCATTATCGAATTTCTAATCAAAAGTCAGTGCCCAGCCTAATACAAATCCAGTATAGCCTTATTAATGTTGAGATTGCAATAAAAGCAAAACGCGGCCGAGCAACTTACATCGATATATTTATGAAGCGGCGATTCTAACTAACCCTTACCGGAGCAAAAAAACCTCTGTCTAAACGTATGAAGCAGTTTGGACTCAGACGTATATTGAGGATTTTGTAGTGATAAGGCATTATTGATGATCGTCTCAGGTCGCGATAAGAGCAATAATAATATTCCCCTTCATCAACATTAGATATATAAGACCGAATTTAGAAAAAGGGCCAGAATCTCACATCTCTTACATCTGGTATAGGGATGTGATGTATAAATCCATCGTTCTATAAATGAAAAAATAGTTATATAGTGTTGGTAGACACATACTATCGCATTTGAGAAATAATTTTTATCAAAACTAATATATATATAGTTATGTAATTAATTTCATTTCAAAAGCCTGAGGTCGGAATTCAGTATTAAGCCTATCAAGAACACGAAGAAGAATGTAAGAATAGCGAAGACCAAGCGGGTCCAGTTTTCAGGGCGTATAGAGTTTACTTTGGTCATGGCTATGGTGTGTGTTCAGTCAGACGAGGGTATAACAGTTACCAATTGGACAAACACTTACGAGGCAGCGGCCAGCACATCCCTGTCTTTATCTCTTTCGTTTTCTTCACATCGTTGTAACTGTCACCGTGTTACAGGAAAAGACACACACTCGCTTTCTGTTTCCTCACTTCTTCACTCGCACTCGCTTTCTGTTTCCTCATCTCTTTCCTCACTTCTGTGTGACTGTTACCGCGTTATGGGTACAGGCACACACTCACTAGCCAGCAATCACCACATTCCTATCTCTTTCTGTTGCCTCAGTTCCGTTTGACCGTCACAAACGGTAACTTATTTATCAAATAAAAATATAAATATATATATATATATATATATATATATATATAACCGACTAACTGTATCCCAGCATAAATTCAGGAATTATGACAATATTTACTATTTTTTTACTGTTGACATTATACCCAAAAAAAAAAAAAAATTTTCCTAAATTTAAAGGCTTTTCGAAAAACTTACTTTTTAAAAGCTTAACTTGTTTTAATTAAACGAAACCAAGGCAGTATAACAAAAAAATATATTGCATCTTGACCGAATTTTATGGTTCAAGCAACTTTTGCGTAAATTGTATTGTACAGAGGTTTACACACTTCTACGGTGCTACATAAACAATATCAAAGAATTTCAGAAACAAAAAAAAAAAAAAAAAAATCCTAAACACTGACGTGGAACAACATTCTATTTAATTTGGAGAATAAAAAAGAAAAGAGAAAAAGAACTAAAGTTTGTAATAACAAAAAAAACAAAAAAAAAAAAAAAGTTTTCAAAAAAAAAATAGTCGATTCATACCGACATGCAAATACCCTAAACCATATTGTATAATAGTTGACTATGATTTCTTGTCTCCGCGCCTTTAAAGCTATTCAGTAATTTTAATTAATTACGACCGACTTTGAAAGAATTCTGCTCGGTTCAGTTTAGGAGGAAAAATGCGGCGTCTAGTGGAAAACAGTGTTCACTCACTCATTTTGCTTCTTCTGATTAATTTCCATTTACATAAAAATGGTCGAAGAAAACTCGACAATCTAAGCGCGGAAACGGAAACTGATCAAGCATATAACCAATTAATTTTCATCACAGAAATTATGATAGCATTTATTATTTCCTCCAGAAATTTATTTTTAAAAAATACGCCTGAGTGGCCGAGTGGGTAGAAGGTGTCGAATAATAACTCAGTGATCGTGGATTCAAATTTCAAGTGCAGTAGAGGTTTTAATAAAGCTGAAAGCCTTAGATGATATTGCTCCAAAACTTTACTCTTAGAATTTATTTCTTCTCCGACTAACCTAATAAGAATAATTATATAATAAAACTTTATTTTGAGAAGTTCTATCATCTTTTTGGTTTCATTTAGAGCAATCACATAAAAAGTGTAAGAAAACGATGTTGATATTAACAACTAATGTATGACTGTACATTTCCTTATCTTGAAGATGTGAACAATATTTTCGGGCAAAGTAAGAATTGTTTGAAAATTTTACGCCTCTATACTTAAAAAATCGTAATGAGAAGTTTTCCATAGACAAGACTGTCTCCTCTCTTCGCTTTTGTTAGACGGATTGAACCTCTGCTTAAAATAATTAAGAATAAGGAGAGGTAAGTTCAATTGCAAGCTAGAGAAGCAAGCGCTAGCCCATTAGCAATGAGTTCCTTATCTTGTGGTGATTTCTAAATGCAATGCGAACAAAGCCAAGTGAGCGAGTGAGAGAGATTATTAGAGAATGCAAAGATATGAAAGATGTGAAGAATGATATTTAATCGACAGTCTTTTCGAGAATTAATGCAATAAGAGGAAAGTATTCCATTTTTGCTTGCCCTTGCTTTAAGCTATTTTTGGAAAGACAGAGCGGAATCTCCTAGTCTTTTAGAACTGCAGTAATAATCACTTTGCAGAGAAAAAATATGGAACTAAAGCTAGTGCTTTCTATTGTAATTGATTATAAACATGCCTTTAGCTTCTTTTTGTCGGGCAGTTAGGCAAGAGGTGCCGTGTTTGACATTCATAGGAGTCCTAAAAATCAAATCCTCCTAGACACATGGAAAGTTAAACCTCGCTATGGCTGTTAGGTTATTAGAGCTTTCATGTCAGACAGCTAGGTAAGGCAATGTGCGCGACGTTCGCAGCAGTCCCAAGAATGAAATACCCTACGGCGGCTAGATCCTTAGCGAGTCCATGTGAAATACATCTAAACGTATGCAAAGTCATAAATCTGCCTTAACCTAAGATCTAAAGATAAACAGTAATCTATAAAAAATCCTGCTTCCTGCAATCTACTAATTATTCGTCATAATTGGAAGACTAATAATTCCTAATCGTGCTAAAGCAAATATAATCGATTAAAAAGGAGGCATTTAAATTCCGTTTCATACGTGGTAAAAGATAAAAACCGTGTAAATGTAGAATTAAATTGATTTAGAAAATGGAAAAGAAATAAATTTGCAAAATTTATTGAGAATTGACAAACAGGCTACAAAGCGGATCGACTTCGCGTTGTTGATAAAAAAAAATTGAAGTTGAACTTTTCTTGTCTTTTTTTTTTTTTTTTTTTTTTTTTTTTTTTGAAACTATGTCCGTCCGTCCACAAGCGATGTAGGGTATTGAAAAATCTATGACAAAATTGATTATCTGACATTTAGCTTGCTTACTCTACCAACATATGTATGTACATATATATGTATGCATGACGTTTTATATACACATTAAAATGTTTTTTAGAAATGTATGTAAGTTTTTGGTTTTTAGAGTTTGTTTGAGAAAAAGTTGAAACACAGCAACCTTTTGTAAGCACAAAGAGTTTGTGGTAGCATAAGTTTGTAAACTTGTAGAGATAGTAGTAATAGTTGCTGCTGTTGTTGTCGTTGTCGTTGTTATTGCTGCTGTTATTGGTATTGCTGCCATGTCCGGGGACGATTCCATTATAGCAGCAGTGGTTATAACTGATGTTGACTCCCATCCAGTGCTTGCTATTATCGATGATGATGTTGTTGTTAACGCTGCAGTTACCGGTAAAGTTGTAGCTAAAGTTGAGATTGGCGTTGGCGTTGGCGTTGACGTTATAATAATACGCACTTTACGACGTCGCTTATTGAATATATCGCGTTGACTATGGGCTTCCGGTGAAGCGCAGAGTTGATTCGAGGCAATTTTCTTATTATTTATATTCAAACAATTACTGCTGTTGTTGTTATTGTTGTTCTTGTTGTTATTTTTGGTTTTGTTGTTCTTGCTATTCTTATTGCTATTATTACAATTATTATATTTTGTTCTTTGTATGATAGTTTTGGAAGAACTTGCTGTTGATGATGATTGCTGCTAAAATTAAGCAAAAGAAACGAAAAAAAAAACAACAACAACAAAGAAACGCTCATAGACGTACGTAGATGCACGCACACACCATACAAAAGCAAAAAAAAAAAGAAAACACACAAACACACAAACACACACATACACACACAAGTGCGCAAACACGCACACACAACCATACGTAGACATTGTTTTTTTTTATATGTAATGTAATCATACAATTAATTCCAAAAAAAAAAAGAAAAAGAAAAACAAAACATAAGTAGATAACAGGACGAAAGGAAGAAACAGATGATACAGATAGAAAGAAAAAAGTCTTAATAAAATATTTAAAAAACATTTTCAAGAAATATCATAAAAATTATTATTAATTACGATATCAAACTATTGGAATTAAATGGTGAGAGAGAGAGAGAGAGAGAGAGAGAATGTTTGGGGTCGTGTGGTAGGAATTAGAGGAACAAACGTAAGCACTTTAAAAGAAAACACCAACAACTACATACTTAACGAGGAATGATAATCAATTCTACGGGTTTTTGAGGTTTTTTCTTGGAATTCTTCAAATTTTACATATATATATGTATATATATAAATAACACACAATTCAACATCAACTATGTCCACAGCAAACAACAACATCTATAGAAATGTAACAAAAAAAAAATAAAAAAAACTAAATACTAAATAAAAGCAACAACAAATTTTAATTGGAAAAAAATATTTTTTAAAACATTGTTTTTTTTTTTCTTTCGTTTTGTTTTTTTGTTATTTTTATTTAAGTTATTATTATTGTTGCACAATTGAAAGAAGAAATAAAAATTGTAAGCGGAAATTATTTGTTTGAAAGTTGAAAAACAAAACTAAATAAACTTTAAACTAAATATAATATAATTTATTTCAAACTTTTATTTATTTGTAAATTTTGTATTACATTATTTGCCGGCTCTCTGCAGTCTCGTAGTAGGTGTGGGTGTGCGGTAATTCGTTCATACATTTGCTTAAGTGCTTCTTTTTTTCTTACGTAGGTAGGTAGGAAAAACTCACACAATAATACGCTATAGTGAGTCTTTTTTTACAAAGGCGCCCCATTTTCATTTGTTTTTCTATTTAAAGGTTAAGTCATGTGATACTTTATTTTTATATTCCTTTGACGTTTCACATCTTGTCAAAGTCTACAATTGAATTATATGCAATTATAATCTCCAAGGACTTGATATCGCGGTACGTAATTTACAGTACGCTCAGCCTCATCGAGATAATCATCAACAACATTGGACATGAAGGAAATTATTATTTAAATTACAATTATATCTCATTTAAGCATAGGTATGGAGAAAGCTTCATCCAAAAAAAAAAAAAAAAACTCGATGACTCGAGTCGATGACACCAGAAGAGAATCAATTTAAAAATCTTAACATTGCCAGGATGCCAGAATATACAATCGGCTCCATGTCTGATGGTTAAGCCAATAAATTTTTTATCCTACGTTCAACTCTTGCCCGTACTCTATTTGCTTGTACTTTCGCATTTTTTACTTTCAGCTTTTTTTATACAATTTTGTATTTACTTGAAGATATAATTCATCCCCGTTTATTAAACGATCGCCATTGCCACACTTTCCTTACCTTTTCAAAAAAAAGGTCTAACTTTTTATATGGTAATGGCAAAAATAAACTCTTTTCGGTTTCTCCCAGTGTGGGCATTTGCTATTTTTTTAGTAAGGACTCTCTCTAGTGACTTTATGTGGATACCTGGCGACAAAAAACTAAAAAAAACACTTGCCCTTACACCTTACAAAGCGTAAGTGTTTCTAGTGACTTTGTATAAATACCTACCGATAAAAATCATTTAGATTTACACCTTGCAATGTAACTGTCACTAATGACTCTATGTAAATATCTACGAATAAAAACAAGACTTATTCTTGTACATTGCAAAGTAAATGTCTTTAGTAAATTAAGTAAGTAGTAAGACTTATTTTTGCACTTTACAAAATAAATGTCTCTGGTGACTTTGTGAATATACCTGTCGATAAAAAACATTTATGCTTACACCGTGCAAGGTAATTGTCTCTAGTGACTCTATGTGAATACCTAGAGTAATGCCACAATATTCGAGAGAGCCGGGAAGAAGGCATTCCCCACGCCGGCATTCTTTCAAGGCGAAAATTTACACGAAGCGAAATATTTCCGGTTGTTCCGGTCTAAAGCGGGACTCTTAGATTTCGAGTGCCATCTAATTTCCCGCCCATAGGTTTTCAATATACCAACACAAATATTTACATAGCAATGCTATGATCTATAGATTGTCATTAATACAAGAACTTGTTAACCCCTACAGTAGCGCGATTATATGGAAAAGAAGCTTGCAAACAGCAATCTTCCGATTCTTTCGAAGAATTTCGCGTCGACGGTCATCTAGCCAATTAACAGCGTTAAATATATATCAACTTTGTCAGCATGTTTTGTAGGTGGCGGTAGCAATGAGACCAAATTATATCGTCGACAAAGAGAAGTGAAATAATAAGTCGAGATGAAGGGAATACAAGATTGAAAAGCGCTCTTTAAAACACGCTCACTTGAATCAAGCAAAACAAGTTCGCTTCATGAAGAAACCACATGATCCACTCTCTAATAAAAGAAAACCTTAACGCCTGGAAATCATTCCTTCCCTGTTTCGCAGCGATAAGAAGCGCTTATTACGATATCAATGTAAAGATGTAGTAATGGATATATTGTTTATCTCTTCCGGCACACAATTTTTTCCTAATCTATCTGACTGAGTGTGATTTCCGTTCAAGCTATCCGGAAAAGCAGAAAAAGTGATGTAAGATGAGCACGTGGGGGATGATAGCACATTCCACCGCAATGCTTCTAAGATTTCTCGATGAATTTTCCCCTATGGGTGTAAAAGCCATCATTTTCGAATATCACGAAAATTTTTAACATATTGTCCTTGTTTGTAGATTAATTGATAACGTTGCTGAATGACTGGCTCGTCGTTTGGTTTCGGGGCCAACCATTAATGCATTACGTAGGTTATGTTAACGATTCTCCTAATCTTCGTAAAGTATGTTTCGACGTCAGGCTTAGTAAGGTATCCATGGTTCGCAATCTATCATCAGTACTTACCAGCACTAGCATTCAAGTTAAAAGGGGAAGTAATCCTTTGCAAATTTCGACTTTTTGTTCCTTTTTTTTTTGTATAAAGTTCCATTTATTTTCAACTTTCATACATGACGTTGTGCATGCCTAAGTGTGGGGTAGCTTGTGCACATAAGCGGAATAATTTATGCGCCTAAGTAATAATTTATATAATTTATCGGGATAAAGAATCACATCGTTGCGTATGGAATAAAGATAATAAATACTCTGACGCGATATTGATAGTTCAAAGTTTGGTAAATTACCTACGACTCATCCCTTGAAAAAAAATCAAGGGGAAATTATTTTTATACTTGATTTGTATTTTTAATGCATGTCTGTCTCTGGGTAAAAGCTTTATGGTCATTGACTTGAGTTATATTTGCTATTCTACTACTTCAGGTTAGTAAAAAGCGAAATTTTTTAGATATCGCTCTGGGAGAATATTTATGAAACAGTGTCGAGTGTCATTAAGAAGCCGATCATTTTGTTTTTCTTAACTCCCCCAGTAGAATAGCAATACTTCGCATCGGTTTTGCAATTTGCATAGAAATTTTCATTATTAATTTTAATAATTTTATATATATATATTTTATATATATATATTTTATTTACATATATATATATATATATATATTCATCTAAGGATCTTTACAAAGTGAGTCATCTTTGTATATATATACATACATACATACCTATTGGTCATATTCTCTATAACATTTTTATTTATAATTCTCTAACACATAACACACACGCATTCATATAACGAAAAGAAAAAGTCTATATAATTGAAATAATAATATCTTCATCTCTCAACTTACCTGAGAGTCTTCCGAATCTTGTCGTGTATCTAGTAGGGTGTTTAGTGAACTGTTAACATCTTCATCTATATCAATGGGTATGACGGCAGCCATACCTTCGCGTTGTATTTGCTGTAAATGATCTTCTGATTTACTGGTACGAAAGCCAGCCGAATCACATTTGCGCACAATGCCATTGTGGCGACGTATCACAACACCTGTTGAATTACAATCAACACCCACGGCACCGCCAACTAAATTGGAAGGTTCAGGACTGGTCGGTACAGAATTGGCAGTTTCCTTATCAATTAGGGGAGTGGATAGGGAAATTGGCGACGTGGGCACTGAGAATGAAGTTTCATCTTGTGAGGTATTAGCACCACCACCGCCGCCTCCGCCACCGCCACCAGCACCGCCGGCACTGATCACTCCCCCTACGGTGGCAGAAGATGATGACGAACCTGAACTTCGGGGATTTCGGGCACAATCGACAGCGTCTTGATGAGCGCGGACTTTGTAACGTAAGGCAGCTTTTTGTTTTAAGGCATTCAAACGTTGTTTCGTTGATGCGGAGCCTAAAGAATTGTTCGAATAATCCTCATCTTCATGATCCACATCATCATCATCATCATCGTCGCCGTATTGCATTAAACATTGACGATCGCTAGCCTCATCATCGGCTCCTCCACCGCCGCCACTATTATAGGTCTCTAAATTTGTAATATCATAGTTGGTTTGATCTTCTTCATTTTCTTCATCTCCATAATCGGGAGGTTGTCGTTCATAGTATTCTGCATTTTCATCGGCCTCATCTTCATTTTGATAATAATCGTAACTTCGTTGCTTTTGCTGCATTTGTTGTTGATGGCGATATCGCTGTTTTTGTTGATGATATTGCTTTTGTCGTCGTTGCTGTAATATTTGATGACCAACTTCTTGCTCGTCCCCCTCCTTCTCTTCATCGTCTCTTTCGAGTTCTTCGCACATTAATAAAGTGTCGTTGGTAAGCGAATCTTTACGATTATTGTAACTGTTATTAAAGCTATCACGTTGTTGTTGTTGTTGTTGTTGTTGATGGTTTGCTTGCATTTGAGCGGACTTACGTAAACGGCACTTATTCCCCGAATCGGTGCTAGCTGTGTGCGTGGGCGAGTCAACTGACGATGAAGAAGTTGGTGACGATTCCCCTGAGGCTTTTGGTGCTAAGGCTCCATTTGGTCTTACAGCAGTCGGTCGGTTGGGCGAGTCTCTTAGGCTATCAACCTTTTTGGCATGAGCCGGCAAAAGATTGCTGCTTTGCGGTGTTCGCGAGAGATTTAAAATTAAATCACCCGTCATCATGTAGGCCTCAAAGCGAGGAGCTTTTGTTGGTTGCGGTGGAGCTGATATGGGTTCGGAATCTTTCTCTTCCGATAATTGAGTGCGCTGTAATCGACTATTGCTGCCACTATAGCTGTTCGAATGCTGTAAACCTAATTGTGACGTATTACCGTTAATATTTGACGCAACAGCGTTCGCAGCAACGCAAGCACCACCTATGCCGGCTTTGGTGGGAATTTGGGAAGGACGCGGTCGCTTATGCTGAGGCGAGTGCTGAGCCGAATTAGGCTTTTGGGGGCATTTTACGGCTTGTGGAATGCGTGAGGGGCGACCAGTTGGCGATGTGGCGGTATGAGAAACGGCAGTCGTGGCATAACAGGCAGGCGTTCCGTCTACCAACTGAAATTTAGCCGATGAAGTTGAGGAACTGCGACTATGATTAGCTGACGTAGAGGTGTTAATTTGATGGCGTTGAGGCAAGTTTGCGGACGAAGCCGCCGTTGACGCTGTTGTATTTGAGGGCGATCTATAACGTGAGGCGGGTGAAGTCGTCGTTGAACTACTTGCGGCCACTGGCGCGGGAGTTGCCGAAGGAGAATTCGTTTGATAATTGTGCGTTTGTTCGTATTGTTGCAATGTTGGAGATGATCTTTTGGCAGCTTCGGCAGAGTGTATAGGTGAAGAGCTATGATAATCGTAATTATTATGAGATTCAGTTTCAATATAATGAGGACTCTTGGTTTGGGCCAATTGTTCCTTAATGCGAGCTTTTAATTTTGGATCTGTTAAGCGAATAGTAGAAAAATGTTATGGTGTCAATAAAGGAAGGAAGACTCGTTTTTAGGTCTAAGCATATAAGTTTACCTCGTTTCAGTTCTAAAGTAACTAAATCATCTGATAAACGTAAACACTTTAATACTTCCTTCGTTGTGTATCGATGTACGTCAGTTCCATTGACCTTTAAAATAACATCACCGGCTTCAACCTGAAAATGAAAATAAAAAAATTGATTAAAATTTAATACAAAAATCATGGACATATTCCTTTTAATTTTCACCCGGAATTGTTGGAATTTACAGAGAAACTAACTTAGCATAGATAAATGCGGCATAGTAAGTAACGAATAAGCAACCGGAACATGCTCCAAAAGCCGCTTTGAAAATGAATACAAATATTCTGATTGCCAAACTGGATTGTGACACGTCGTCAAAGAGACCCCCCTCAAGGCAAGTAGGACACTCTCTCTCTACTACTGAGGTTTATTAATACATACATAAGTAGCGAAAATTCTATTAAACTGACTTCCTATAAGGACTGATACCATCTATCGAATAACTTCTAATGATAAAGTTAGAAAAAGTGACAATAAACCTGGTCCACTAATAAAAATCGATCGATAGGCATAAAGGAAGTAAAAAGATAAAATGCAGAAACCGGGTAAGGCTAATTAATACATATTCTGCACCACTTCGCTATACTTCATACACTTCTTTAGCTAAAGGCTCATCTTTCATGAGAAGCCTTTATGTGTTAATAAACTGACTCTATATTCACTATAGGATATTTAAAATTACACCTTGTTGCCACATGTATTCTCAGTTGTCCCCTCACCTCCCCACCCATCCGTTTACGGTCCACCAATTTTGAAAGGAAACATTCAAAATTGCCATTTATTTCTTATAATCATATCTTGGAACAAGACGTCATTATAGGGAGTGATTGTGAAAATTGCCTGATCTAAATCATTTTCACTAAGGATCGTTCTTTGTCGAAAAAATGTTATGTATATCAAAATTTCATCGAAATATTTTGTAATTTACAGCTTAAAGATGCAATAAAAAAAATGTATGGACAGACGGACCGACCAGCTTAAATCGATTCAGAAAATGATTCGTGATCGTTCGGCGTAATAAACACCTACCCATTTCGCACGATGTGTGCGATCATTGAAGGGTGTGAAGGTAAAGTCTCAAATTTCACTATATTTCCATAACTAGTCTCTGCTGAGATAGAAAATTTTAAAAAAATCGTTAAAATTGATTCCGACAAAATAAGTTTGAATTCTTTTAGTTCATTTGGAAGAAGTTTTCGTGTAAATTCAGAAACTACCCACAAAAATATTTTCATAATTTGAACGGAGTAGGCATTCAGAGCTCTTTTAAGCCCAGTTGGTAGGTGTCTTTGCTAATTAAATTATCTTCGAGCCCTTCGATCACCGCCTATTACTATGAGCTCACTTTTTGCCTGAAATCCTTCCTTGCCTTGAACTTCTAGCTTCAAGTATAAACATAATTTAGTCAAATTTCAGATCATTGTTTACTGTTTAACGGCAAATCGTTGCTGCAAAAAAGTATGGAAATCTTTTACTTTCTAATTGCATGGGTGTTTCTCGATCGCTTACGCGCCCTTATTTTCTAATGCCATCTGTAAGCATAAACTGCAAAAATGGATAACAATTATCAACATTCTATGTCATATAAATAAGTGGACAAAAGGACAGACGTCATGCTGATCAAAAAACTATTTATCACCATTAACGGAAAGTCCATTCTATTGCGTGTTACGAAATAAATCAAAAATCTATAAACTGCCAAGAACATACATCCTTTGATAATGGGTATTAAAAATACATATGAACTGAAAAGGAAAAAGAAGAAGAAAAAGAAGAAGAAAAACAATGGAAAAACTAAACCGCTTTAACTAATACGCATACATACGTATTGTGTACGCCATAGAGAAATTTATAAAAAAAACCTAAAAAATCAAAAGCCTCTACACGAACAAAACAGGTGTAAAACAATGCAATATACGTGTAGAGTGATTTTCTATGAAAGTCGATATTAAATAGAGAGATTTATTATGTAAGTAAGTAAGTGTGTTGTTCGTTGGTTGGTTGGTAAGGGTTTTGTGTATCAATATGCGTTAAATTTATTGATTTTTTTTTTTTCGCATAACAAGAAAAAAAAATTATAAAAAAATGAAAAAAATAAAAAACTTATTTAGAACGGATGAGAAGAAAACTATATTGAATTTATGTCGAAATTTTGAGAGCCTATCGTCTAATTGTTTCCGGCATTTGTGGCAAGTGCAAAATATGAAATTTGAAATCCTTGACTAAATGTGAATTTACAGCAAAATCTTAGTTCTAAACGATCTATTTTCGTTCTTGCACCCATTGAGGTTCTCATAAGCATAACTGTATCCACCAGCTAGCTGGATTAGTTGATCTAGAAGCGCAAGCTTATCCAAAATCCGAATATATATAGAATTGCGGACAGATAAAATTATTACTTTCTACATAATTAGTTCCAATGTCCAATAAAGGTCCAACAGTTAGCACGAAGGAAAAGGGAGTGGTTTAATCAAAATTTCAACATACTCTCCTTATACTTTCAATCAACTTTATTAAGCGAACTATAGATCTATAGATCATTTTGAACGATAACTTTACTGATTAAACCATGCCTTACGGTAAGTTTTCTCCGGTTACTTGACGGAAAATTAAATCCCGAGTCATTTTCAATGCTCTCTCTTTTGAAGTTTGCTTTCCTCCATCAAGAGAGTTCTATGCGTGAGTGTCTTTGAAGATGCGTTTTGCGTCTCGATATATTGATCAATTGCGGACATTTCGCTTTAATCGCGTCCAGTAGAGAGCGGAATTAATCATCTAATCCGATTGGAACAGCTGATTATACGCGGTTACCTTCGCAACCCGCCACTATGCTGAATATCGTAGCGCTATTATGGCTATGCAAGTCAGAAGGCATCGTTTGAAAAAGTAAACGCGAAGTGTTTTTTTTTTCTCTTAATAACATTAACACCTAATTACTGGACTCTGTGCATTGTGCTTGCGATTGCAAGCGAATCGCCCCCATGTGTATTTCAATTTGTAATCGTTAAGCCGAGAATACATGTAAAACCTTTTAGTGGAACGTTTTATACCTTTTTGCGATCCTTTGCAATGGCAAGCGGAAAGATAAAGTGATGGACATGGCTAAATTGGTATAGAATCTTTCGCATACCTAGAATTTATATATTGTTCCTTTCTCTTTTTCTTTCTCTCTCTCTTTCCCCTTCTCTCTCTCTCACGCTTCCTCACACTCACTCTCACCCTCTCTGTCTCTCCCTATAAACATCTAACTCTCTCCTTCTCTCACTTTCCCACTCACTATTCATCCGCCTCTCTCTCTTACCCTCTCTGCTGAATACTTCTGGTTAGTATTACAAACCGAAAGGCAAACCAAGCAAACCCAGATATTTTGGTGATGAGTATAAAAAGTATTATATCGACCGATGGTAACAATAACAAAAAAGTGTTCGCACGTAACTTATATATATTGCAAGAGTTTAAAAACATATCTACTAAATAAACCTAAATGTATTCTGCCCGCCAGGAATGTGAGAAGTGAAAGAGAAAGCAAACAGGAAAAAAAAATTCTGAAAAATATAAACGTTGTCCCAAAATGAGATGATGATGATGTTCATTTCTTTTTTCTTTTTTTTTTTTTTTTGAAATATTACTTAAAACAGGCAAAAATATTCAGACAGTGGAAATAAACCTTCTATCACAAGTTATTCTTATGCAAATTCGAAGGCAATTATATTACCGTAAAACTTTACGTACCAATGTACGATAAACGATAAAATTTAGATAAGAGTTTAGCATCCAGTGATTTTCAAAGCTAGAGGACAACATTCTATAAAGACAACTCGCTAAGCATTTCAAGCAAATACTTCTTAGGATGAGTTGTTCTTCTTTAA